CCTTTTTCGACTTTACCATTTTTGTCGGAACGACGTAGTTTATGTCGATATGATCCTTCAGCCTTTTCAACAGAGGATACATTGGGATGGATCGATTAAAAATGTAATGTCCAAGAGGAGCTCTAACCCTTTAAGTGCAATAGGAATTTGGTACGGTTTTGTGCAGTAGGAACGGTGATGTCATATATTAATTATAAACAATGTTAGCTTAATAATATTCATGTCATATTTGCTCTACTGAAATTTTGGTCTGCTTTAAAATTAGTCGCCGAAAAATTGAGTCTCATGAAATTTGGTTTACAACAATTTTAGTCAAAAGTTTGACTAAATTTATGGTAGACTAAATTTGTCGTTCTTAATGTATTAGTGATTAGATTAAGATTTTGTTATTATAAGTCATGAATCTTATAACATTTTCACCGACGATTTTCTTTTTTTGGTAATTGTCCCAGTAACTTCCGTGAATCTTGAGATCTAGCACAAGTCATATCATCCAACTACCAGTACCACTAAACTACCAAAGCGGCGGCTACGGGCTACCTCTCGAAGATATCAATAGATCGTATCATCCGTAAAGACTTACACGCATGGAAGTTAATGCAATTAGATGTAGTTGAACTGCCCCTTCTCCTTGAAACACAAATATGACAACAATACATTGATTCAACAGATTGTGAGTGTATAACCTTAAATTTCGGCAAACTACAATCTAATCGTGCGACTAAAGCGACACAATTTCAATCTGTCGAGGGATTGCGATGATGTGGCTATATCATTCGCCACGTTTACCTTCTCTCATTCTTAACCCTAATTTCAATTGTATTATCAGCTCACCATTACTATAAGACAATAATTTGCAAGGAAGTTTTAGGTCGCAAGTATATTTTCTGGGGCTCTCACTAATTCGCTCGCCTTAAATTATCACGTGACTTTAGTTTTTATGGTTTTGCAGCCGAACAGAACAGTTTCACATAAACCCTAATCCCAACCCTAACCGGCCTAACCATAAACCCGAAACTATCCATAACCCTAACCACAACCCTAACCCTAACCCGAACCGTGAGCCCTATAAGCAATCGAACTCGTGTTTATAGGTCACGTGACAGGCTATATAAACAGGATTAAACAGGATTAAACAGGATTAAACATGAAATTACCAGAGAGAACACTAACGGACTCGTCTTGGCTATACAAGAATGAATAAATGAATAAATGAATAAATAGAATTATCAAAACTGAATCATTTAAAAATAGTAAAATTTAACCGTTTACAATTTCACGAAAATAAAAGAAGATCGTCTATAATAATTTAAGGTAATACAGTAAATAAAGTTCGAGTACTACATCTGTTTGCGAGGGTTAAGGGACGTTTTAGGAGGATTACGTAGATTTGAGGAGTCTGTAAGGTACTTCCCGAACTCTTTTATATGGGGTGAGTTCATTATTGCTCCATATTCTTTTAGCATCAACAGGCTTTTGAGGTTGTCAGAGAGGTTGGACCTGAGTTGATGGTAGTAGGGGCACTCAGTTAGGACGTGGTCTTCGGTTTCTAGAATAGGAGTTTCAAAGAAGGGGAGCTCCTCTAAAAAACGTATGACATCCGTTTCTGAGGAGCAGCAGAAGCGACACGTTTTAAGAGCTGTGTTGAGTTGATCTTTGGTGTAGCGACCTTTTTCTATCCTAAGATCGTGACTGCTAGATCGGAGTTTAGCAATATTGACCCTTTTAAGCCGGCAGGGGAGCTGTAAATAGGGTTCTTCGCCAAACTCGAATTTAACCGCTGTGTAGAAAGACATTTTGGGCTGGTTGAGGAGATCTCTCTTCCAATGGTCAACAAATGTCTCATGTATGTACTCACAAGCGTCTAGGGTGGGTGATAACTGCGGCTTGGAGACTGTACTCATCTTGGCAATAGTTGACCACGCATCATACCAGGTTAGATTCAGTAGCTTTTGCTCTTGAGAGGTGTGGTGCAAAAGAGTGTTCACGTTACCTTCTACCGCCAGGGATGCCCGATGGAAGTAAGCTAAACATTGGGGAATGACGGTAACTGTCCAGGGGGTTCTACCAGTGTCACCATAGCAGAAGTTGTTATTAGCTTTCTTGTGAACGCCTAGTATCCATTTGAGAATCTTCAGATGAGTTGTTTCGAGCGGATCTTTAGCTGCAGATTTAGGCAGGCTCACTTCTTCTTTTTTCGACAGGATAGCCTTTACGATGTTTGTTGATGAGAGCCAGACGGGACATGCATAGGTCGCTACAGGCTTTACTAGACTATCGATGAGTTTAAGCATCGTGCTGGTAGTGAGTGCTTTCGTGTTGATAATTCGCCTCATTGAGAAGAATGAGCGTAGAGCTTTCTTCCTAAGTTCGTCGATAGCTTGCTTAAACGATCCATTCAGAGAGAATTGGATTCCGAGATAGCAGTATCTTTTTACTGGTATAATGTCCAGGCTTCCTAGTTTAAAGCCATAAGAACATTTAAGTGTTCGTGAGCTTGTATTGAAGACCATCACACTGGTTTTGTCGATGTTAACTGATAACTCCCATTTTTCTGCATAGTCGTGCAAGCAATTCAGCAACGATTGTAGGCTGAACGCGTCAAGTGCTAGGAGGACTAAGTCGTCAGCCCATAGGAGGTGGCTTACTTTGATGCCGTTTAAAATTGGGACATTCAACTCTTCGATTTGTTCCAGTCTGATGGAAAGTTCGTGGATATAAACTTTGAGGAGCTCAGGGGACATCGGGTGCCCTTGTTCTGTGCCGATGGTAACGTCGATAGCAGCGGAGAGCTTTTGGATCAGCTTAACTCGGGTTGACGAGTTGTTATACATGTGGCTGATGCAAGTGAAGAAATTGCCTGAGAGACCCATGTTGCCCAGTTTGAACAGAAGTGCATCCCTGCATACACTGTCAAACGCCTTCCAGAGGCACCTATTAGGTGCGATGGGTGCGGGATCGCACAATTTACCGTTTTCAATAATTTATTGTTTTCCGCACATTTTGTAATTTTCCGCATATTTCCGCATAATCTAGCATTTTCCGCATAATTTTGAAATGTTAAAAGTCGGGCCCTTTTAGGAAAACCGCACAATTCCAGCACAAATTTCGAAAAATCGCCGCACATTTGCCGCATAATTGCAGGTAAAAATTTACCGCACCTTACCGCACATTTTACCTTTATAGTCGGGTGCGGTACCGCATAATTTCGATTTTTTTACCGCACCTAATATGTGCCTCTGACGCCTTCCGATAATCGACGAAGCAGGCAAATAGTCGCTTCTTCTCTTTTTTGACATATTTCTCTATGATAGTGTTCAGGGTGAGCAAGTGGTCATTACATTGTGCTCCACTCCTGAATCCCAGTTGATACGGTCGGTCGGGACAAGCTATTTCCCTAAATTCTATCAGCCGTTTAAGGAGCAAGTTCGAAAATAGCTTGCCAAGACAGCTGCCAATGGTAATGGCCCGATAGTTATCGGGGTTCTGACGGTCACCCTTTTTATGGAGTGGAGTGGTGATAGAGTTGTTCCAAGGGTAGGTTCCGCACTGAAGACAGGCATTAAAAAGCTTAACTAGAACAAGTTGGAGTTGCTCGTTGGAGTTTTTCAGCATCTCGTTTGATATCAGGTCATCAGACACACTCTTGTTGTTCTTCAGTTTCTTGATCGCATCTTTTGTCTCCTGTAAGGTGAAGTCTCGATTCAAACTGTCGACTAGGTTTTTAGTGTTCTGCAGCTCGTCGGTTGTGGGAGTAGAGACGACGTCATCATCTGCGTGGTGATTCTTACTACACTTACGGTTGTAAAGGTCGTTAAAAAATTTATGAAAGAGGAGAAGATCATAAATGTCAAATGGCTCTTCATCTTTGTGTTGTTCGGACAGTTGCTTGAGCGCCGCCCAGTTAACATTACCACTTTCGTTTATCTTTTGATTCATCTCGAACAGATATTTCCCCTTTTTCGTGCTCTTAATAGCCCGGTACTCCTTTTTTTTGAGAAAGTGCTGATTGCGAAGGAAATTGCTGTGTGGGTTGCGATTTGCATTCCTGTCAGCTCTACTAGCCGCACTTTAGTATATAGCCTGTCACGTGACCAAAACAGTTTTTTGCCCATAACTCTCCAGGGAAGCATTTTTACCCTACGTCATGGAGGCTGATTCGCAATCACTGGCCAAAAATATATCCACTCGGCACTCAGATTACTTTCACTTTCATACCCTAACTCTCCGGGCCTTTTCATAAGAATTTTTTTTAATTGAGGCGAGCAATTTTAGTTCCATGGCCAATTTTAGTTCCATGGCCAATTTTTAACTTGGGCAATGACGAACTCATATATTTTCAAGTATTGATAAAATACTCCCCTTCCCGTTTTCCAGTATAATTATTTATTAACATATCCCATCACTGAGTACTGACCAACTTGAACTATCGTAGTGACTAGTACCTATCACCATGTTTAAATTACATATTGTCCCAAACATCAGCAATAAGCATTAAACATTCCCCTAAATTTCTCCCTCGTTTATAATCATAGATTTTCACTTTTTATTCGACACGGACATCTTGACTTAATCAGATTGAGTAACTGAATCGATGAGCTTGCAATGAGGTGACATCCTGAAGACGTTCTTGTCGTGAAATTTCGGCTTGGAATGTAAAGTCTAGCTTTAGCAGGAACTGGACGCCGTGGAATGTAAAATGCAAGCTTATTATATTGTTTGTCCTGCACTATTATTTCATTAAGGGTCAACACAATCATGTTACCAATCAGATTACCACGAGTAGAGCTCCATTCTGCAGTCACTTAACATTCCTTGCAAGATGCTTTACAGAAATACCTTAAGCTGTAGGTACACTAATATGTATAAGATTCTTGTTTTAGAGCCACGTTATCACTTTCCTGCGATATCTGCAGGAGATCAGCAGATATCATTTATTGGCGTGATATCACAGAGAAGAAGCTAGCGACTATAAATACTGATGATATGTTTTGATAGCCATACTTCATTTTATCTTTTCATTTGCAGATCGCTCTACCAATAAAGTTTACTCCCAACATGATTCTGGTCACCTTCTTCCTCCAGTGAACAATACCACTGGACGTATATTATTTTAACAGTCCGCCCCATTATTTTTGATGGTCGGGGTACACAGTACACACAACTTGATACACATGAACCCCTTCAAAGTGTCTTAGATTTAGTTATATAAGTTAGAACACGCTTCGTTCCCATCCATGTTTTTATGTTCCAATATTTGAGAGATTATCGATGACAAATTCAGATAAGCATAAACATGGGTTGTTTGGACTCTTTCGTTAAGATGGGACAGAAATTCCTGCCTCCTCCCGGAGTTCTCTTTATCACTCATCTGGTACGTATTTTAATTCACTTTTCTAAGGTTTAGGTAAATATAGTATTTTGGAGAAGGGGTCATCGGCATCAAAGTTACAGGATTTCTCAGTTATTAGATACAGTGGAATGTCGATGACCCCTCACTCTAGGTACATAAATTTCCTTCACGTTTTATTTATAAACAATTCTCTTTTTCAGCTCTACACAACATTGAGTATTATCCTGTTCTTCATTGAGGATCTAGTCTACAGTGGCATCAGTAATACCTGCAACGGCTGGATTCAATGGATCCTACTGTAAGTACACTTGCAATTTCCTAACTGCTAATACTTAATAGACTCGACTGCTTTCGACTACAGAACACAAAACTGCCCATAACTGGATATATTTCAAAAAGTTTATACTACCATTTTCAGTGTTGTTGCTATCCTCATGAGTATTCTGGTGGCTTATGCTAAGTACAAAGAGAAGGAAGACGCTATGGCAGCCTTCGTTTCTCTCCTCTTGTTCTTCGCCACAATTATTGGTCTCCAGGTAAAGCACATTTATAGTACTTTCAGTAGTAAAACTATACTGGTTTGGTAATGGAGAGCATGACTGTAGCCTTGAAAATTAAGCCGATTTATTATTTATTATTTTAGTAGTGTTATGTATATCAAGTACAAATGAATAATAATCGAGCTACAGTCTACACTAGTCGGTTGACTTCAAACTTATAAAATTACTGTAACTAAAATAACTGTAACTGAAATAATTTCAGCTCCATCCATTCGGTTGTTTCAATTTCTCAAACTGGGGCAGCACTCTTCTCTACTATATCATTAGAGGAGCCATCTGCATTCCTCTAGCGATCATCTACTTCTTCGTCTGCAAGTCTGATCTTGACTCGCTCAAGCCTCAGTAAGCCTCGAATCTTGGAGGTTGAGCCTCCCTCCCTTCAGGTCTTTTTGTTTTGGAGGTTCACAACTGGGTGTAGGTGCACTGTATAAATGTGGACGCAATTATTTTAGATATGCTACTGCTATAGTTGCAGTTTTGTTTGTATAATACGAATTTGGAACGTTTTACTTTTATTGTTGGTTTCTAGAACTAGAAAAAATTGATATTATTGAATAACCACATTTTTCTTTTAACTGTTTTCAAATGAATACAACGAGGTGAATGAATAATCTTAGGTACTATTTTAGAATAACATACAATTCATGATTTTAATTAAAACGTCTGGGACTGTAAAGTTTAACGTAACCTTAAGTTAATTCAAATTAAATATCAAACTGAAATAAAATTGCTTTCTCGTATAGTAGACTAGAAAAGACTTTCTGCAAACTGCCGCTACACAGCACACAGGAATTTATATGAAAATACCGTTAAACTGAGCTATTGTTGTATGCCAAATATGGCAATAATACTATAAAGGTTCATTTCTAAACTGCTGCATTCCGAAGAAAATGCATCACAAAAGAAATGAAACTACATAGTATATATCGTGCCAGGTGCCCCTAAAAGGAAAATATTTTGAAAAACCTGTAGTCATCTACCAGGCAGAAATCAGAACGACTACGGGCAGGAATTAACCTACTTTCTCTCTAAAAAACGTAGTTATTTAAAAAGTGATTATACATTTTTCTAAACCTTGTAAACCTTGTAAACCTTGTAAACCTTGTAAATGACAGTAACACTCGACCTCTGCCTGATCCAGAGGATGTCACCATTTTACCTTCACACAGACATCGAACGCTGTAAGAAGATGAAGATCAGACCTCGTTGTTAAACCTTGTAAACCTTGTAAACCTTGATTCCGAAAATTTATGCAAAAATAGTGTTCCTGAGTTCTGTAACTATTTTGAATGAATTTACTTTCGCGTATATCGCGAACTAAAATATTACCATTATTTTACACACGCTGTAACCCCTTTGGCTTTTGATCGCTGTAACCCCTTTTGATCGTCGGTTGGCTTCGCGTGCACGAAAGGTATATAACGTGTAGCAAACCATAATAGGTGATTTTGTTTTGGTGGTCTCTTTGCTACACGACTCGTGCACACAAAGCATGCAATCTGGCCGCCGAAAAAGGTTGCGCGAAAAAAGGTTGCAACGTGTGTCAGCCGTGAGCCGTGAACCCAATCCCCAAGTTTTTATAAATCGCAATGTAATTGATAACTGCCCCCTGTATAAACGACAGTTTGAGTTATTGTCCAGGTCCTGGGCCAGGACAACTGGGTCCGTGTTAATTGAGCTGCTATTGATGACAATGGACACACAAGTCACAACAAACAATGTCACAACATTGTATTTGTATGTAGTTATTGTCACTGATTGTATTGTTACAGCAACATTACATTCCAACACACTGTGGGTACGAGAGCTCGCCAATTCCTGTGTGCGGCGCTTTTATCTTTTCAAGCTCCCATCTTTTCAAGCTTCCTGAACATGAGAGGAGTGAGCAATAAACTTGCAAGCTAGGTAAATACAAGAGCTGAAATTCCTGAAAACTAAATTTATTTCTTGCTGGCTATGGACCGATTCTTAAAACGCCAAGTTCCAACTATCAGGAAACCAAAAAAACATTACATTTACTATACCTGTTGAATTTTAAAGACTTGATTTTAAAGACTTTATCAGGATCTTCATTCATCAATGATAAATGAAATAAAACAATTTGCTTGCAATAAAACAATTTGCTTGACCCCAACCTTAACCCTAACTGCAAACCCAATCCCTGACTGAAGCATATGCATTATGTTGAAACCTTAACCCTAAAGATGATGATTAATCACTCTACACTCGACTGTCACGTGACTTTTTAAACACGTTCTCTAGCTGGCCCTGAAATGACTATTCGAAATCCTAGCCCTCTAATCACTAATCTGATCCCAACCCTAACCTTGACATACGTTGCATGCCACTTTTCGCGCGCGAAGCGCGCGCCGCCGAAGGCGAAACATGTATCAACCCTAACCCTAATCCAATCTTTTACAAAAGCATACTGCAAGCTGAAACCTGCGAGTGTATCACTATCAGCGTAGTGATTTAGCACGCTCGAAAAACAATCGTCGCACTACATAATTAAATATTGATGGCTCAGCCTGCAGCCTGTCATTCCGCCGCGCATTTTATGAACAAAAAACTAGCCTGAGGTCCCTATGGCTATAGGTACTATATATATAGTTCATAGTCGAGGCGAACATACTCCTAAATTTGCCACGCCACACACATTACTGGGCGGTGCTCAGCCTGTCATTTAGGCTCGGCCGAATCTCTATTCTATGTCTATGAGTATATATGATCATGAACATTATAGCCTGGGGTCCCCAGGTAACACACACATAAAGGAATTGTTCATAATTGAATACTTTTAAATTGGATACAAGTATAAGTATAACGATGAATTAGTAATACATAATAGTAAACATTATATTTATAATGATTGTTAATTAATTGTTCAAATCTGAAACAAAAAAGATTATCTGGTGACAAGTCCAAATGCATTTTAGAGTCAAGATTAACAGTTACACGGATTTATAGTATAAGTTTTTTAAATATTTCAAGTCGATTGAGTGAAACTAACCAGTCCTCTGATATCGTGGGGCAAGACGACTGACGGACTGAAGCCGTGACTTTGAATTAACATTGAGAACAATTAACTCAAAATATTTGCATTGTGTTGTGTTGAAGAATTCCAACACACTGTGGGTACAAGCTAAAATTTTAACAAACAAAAGCATTCCAGGCATTCCAGGCTATCATCTCACGATCATGATCACCTCATTGCTGGCTCCAACGAGGAAACACCCAGCACACAGCAGATCTAAATTATTTGTGTGCTATTAAGGCAGCGGGCTGGAGACTATAAATACTGATCATTTCGTTTTGGACGTCAGACTTTGTTTTATTTTTTCATTTGCAGATCTCTTCATCTCTGTACCCACATTATTTTGTCTTCTGTTAACACATAAGATTATCAGCCTTTGCCCGACCCTTTATCATTTATTTCATAACCATCCATCTTACGTTCTAATATTTGACATATTTTTGGCGCAGAAAAGTTTTTAAATCTAGTAGTAGTAGAAGTACTGGTACTGGTAGTTCGTAGTACTACTACTAGCATACTTGTATACTAGTATTCATAACTAGTATTCATAACAATCTACCAAAATCAGCTCAGTATAAATATGGGTGGTTTGGACTCTTTCGTTAAGGTGGGACAGAAATTCCTGCCTCCTCCCGGAGTTCTCTTTATCACTCATCTGGTACGTATTTTAATTCACTTTTCAGGCCCTTTACCCATTGGACCTTGTAAATCGTGTAGCTTATCGGCCGACTAAATATTTTTAAGGTTTATAAATAAAAACCATCGACATCAATACAAAGTCTCAAATAAGATGCTGCAGGATTTCGATGAATTCACGTGACTAACTAATATTCATGATTTAAAGCAATTAATTCACTTAGAAACGATTCACTTTTTCAGCTCTATATAACATTGAGTATCATCCTGTTCTTCATAGAAGACCTTGTCCACGAAGAGCATAGCACCTGTAGACTCTGGATCCAATGGCTCTTGCTGTGAGTAAAACTAAAATATTTTAACTGTTCTAATATTTTAACTGTTCCTACTGCTGTTCATGGACAGTTGTGAAATACACTGAGACCAAGCCAAAACAAATATCTGCCACCTCTTTCCCGATAGTCTGAATTAAATAATTAGCTATCTAACTAACTTATATTATCAAAGCTAAGAAAGCTAAAGCTCTACTTCTAGTGAGGGTCTTAGTCTTAATTTGCAGAACAATTTTTGCTTATATTGAAAATATTCTAAAGTCTATTTTGTTCTCTTCAGCGGTGTTGCGATTTTTATGACTGTTTTGGTGGGTCTAGCCAAGTACAAACAAAAGAACGACATTATTGCAACCATCATCTCTTTCCTCCTGTTCTTCGCCACGATCATCGGTCTCCAGGTAAAGGACATTTATAGTATTTTTAGTTGTTAAACTACTGGTATGGAGAGCATGATTGACTGTATCATTGAAAAATTAAGGCTTATATTAATTGTATTTATAAAGCCGAATTATTATTTTAGCAGTGTCACCAGTAATGCTAACAGTAACGCTAATAGTAAGTGCGCTACAGTTGACGTCAAAGTTGTAGTTAGATTGAGATGTATCTATCGTAACAATGATTGAATTATAAGGACATAACTGCTAAACTAAAATAACTGTAACTAAAATAATCGCAGGCCTATCCATTCGGTTGCAGTAATTGGGTGAGCTGGGGTAGCCATCACTGGGTCTACTACATCGTAAGAGGAGCCATCTGCATTCCTCTCGCTATCGTCTACACTTTCCTCTGCAAGGATGATCTCCTCTCACTCAAGCCTAAATAAGCACCAAACCTTCAAATGAGTTTATGCCTCATTACCTTCTATTCAATGAGCCTCAAACCTCAGAGATTAAGTCTCCTTCCCTTTAGGTTTTAGTTTTTCGGAGGCGCAAAGCTGGGATAAGAGTGGTCTAATTAATGTATTGGTGTGGACTTGATTTAGATATGCCACTTTTATTGTTGATATTTAGTAGTAGTTTTATTGTTGATATTTAGAATTAGAAACGATCGATATTATTGCAGAATAACCAAATGTTTCTTTATTAATCTTTTTAAAATGAATACCATGAAATGAATGGATAATCTTTCAAACTCTTATATCATAGACATAAGAAACAATCCATATCTTGAATTAAAAGGTCAGGAACTGAAAAGATGGGAATTTACACAAAATTTATTCCAATTTATTATCAAACAAACAAAATAATCTGATTGAGTCGTGTATAATTATTAAGTCTCATATTTTGATGCTTCTTTCATACAAATTTCTGTTTGTTTCTGAATAGACTCTGTGCAGACAGTTTCTAATTTATTTCAATTAGAAGCCGTCTTTCTGTTATTCTATTAAAAACAATCAGAAATTTGTATGAAAGAAAAATCATGACACGAAATAGCAATATGGGGTCGTTCACATATTACGTAATCATTTTTTGGAACATTTTTACCCCCCCCCCCCCTCCGTAATCAGCTTTACACATAGCTATTGTGTCAAAATTACACTGGCGTAATCATTCGGAACCCCCCCCCCCCTCAGCTGATTACGTAATATGTGAACGACCCCTATCGCAAAAGAGGAAACTTCTTAAATATCAAAAACTAAAATAAAATTACTTTCTCTCACAGTACTAGATTAGAAAGAACAAAATTTTTACAACATCTATCCGTGAGGATTGATAGATAGGATGATTAATACAAAAAACTTTTTAAAAACCTGAAAAATCTGAAATAAAAATCTACAACTCACTAATAATCTTGTCGCCCTATCCAGACTAACGAGACTGTTGACGTCGTATAAAATTAAAGTCATAATTATAAATTATCACTGCTTACAACAGGATTTATAACACTGCTTACCCGACAAAAAGACAATCCCAGCGCAGACAAAATGAAAGTGTTAATCCGAAACCATGGATACGGTAAAATCAGGCATATCATGATTTTATAAAGGAACCAGTTGATAGGAACCAGCTATAATACGACCGTTTGAAAATGTTTTGCACCAAACACGTCGACAAAGCCAAAAATATACACTACAAAAAAATTCTTTGAATAACACAAAGATAATTATAAAAAGCAGTCGCAGATGATCAACAGTCTTCTGAATAGGAAACCTACATCGATAAAACTGTCGGACGAAAACGGACAAGTCAGCACTTCGGCAGTAGTAGCAGAAAAATTTAATGATCACTTCTCAAACATCGCTCTAAAAATTAAGTCTGAAATTAGTAGTAGGAGCACTTTCGATCCTGGTGGGACCCAGGGGACACTTCGCAGCCCTTCCCCAAATAGTATCTACATATAAAACCAGTCACAGCTACCGAAGTTCAGGACGTTATTAACCTAGGACTTCTACTTTTGTATTCTACATAAAGGATCTGCCTCAAATTTCAGAAATAGCTAAATTCATTATGTACGCAGATGATGCAAACATCTTCCTACCAGGATAAAATCTAAACGAGGTTTATGATAAGCTCAAAATTCTTAGCGATGTCTTAGTTAAATGGGTAGATAACAACGGGTTAGCTCTAAACCAAAAAAACGAACTATATGATCTTTTCGCGGCAAAGAAACCTCAATTTTCGCGATGTAGTAATTTCTGGTGTCACAATCGAAAGAAAAACAGAAGCCCGTTTCTTAGGAGTTATAATAGATAATGGATAACAAACTGAACTGGTCACACCATATTTCTGCCATGAAAATGAAAATGGCCGGATACATTGGGCCGGGGTCATGTACAAACTTAAAAAATAATTGACTCTGGAGCACGTTTACAAATACATATTATATGAATATCATAGCTTTGTGCAGTCTCGCCTTAATTACTGCTCCCTCGTATGGGGTTCTGCTGCCAAGTCCCATATCGAAACAAAAAATGGGTCTTAGAGCAGTACTACCTGGTTTCGTTAATTACTGGTACAAGGACGGTACTCCACCAGCATGTACCAAGTCCGGTTTCTATGTACACAAAATATTAACAGTTCATAGTATCATCGTGAAGAATGCACTAGTCTTTAGGCATAAGTTGAAAAACTTCCGATAGGGAGCTTTATATTCGCTAATTATACTAAAATGTAATAACGGTAGATGATGATCATCATTAGTAAAGCACTGTTTCCGCTGATTGCACTGATTTAGTCCGACACCATATTAGTATTACTATAACGGGTATCCGGGAACTCTACATAAACTATAAAATGATGTTAAAAATGGAGTTTCCATTGACTTTTACTTTAAATAACCTTGGTAATTTAAATAGCATTTATTAACTAAAATCTCAGAACCGCTCTTGGACTCTGAATCGAATGTCATAATAACCGGGTCTGAAGCGTTTACTGTAATGCCACAAGCATATCATATTTGCAATCATTAACACCATCAGCAGCTCGAAGAAGTATGCTATCTTGCCGTGGTTCAAGTTGTTACAAATCCACGGACCTCCGAGCTCGGGTAATAATGTCACGTATTTCACGATTAGTACCAGCAAAATCTGAAATAACATGTTTACACTAACAATTGCAAGATTAGATGATTGATAGAATCATCTGAAATATGGTCCAATACAATAATCACAAATCAAATGTTTTACAGTTCCGGAATTAACTACAAAAAAAAGAAAAACACAGTATAATACGGTTAACGCATCGAAAAAAAAATTGGCCAAAAATCTTAATCAAGCATCTAAGAAGTATATTATTATTAAGTTTTAAACTAATTACAACACTACAAATCTATTACATTTATTGAGTATTGTGTAACGCGATGGAAATATTTAAAATTTAAGCGGGTAATATCCTATCCAAACCCAGGATACATAACATGAAGACTTTGTTTTAACTTTGTATGAAAAGCATTAATATACCATCTTATCGATTTAAGAATTGAATTTTCTTACCGCAATAGTATCTCCAATCGTCTGAATGAAGAAGTAAATCCCCATGGCAAAGCTCTTCATGTATTGAGGTGCCTCCAGGTATATGAACTCCATGCTTGCTATTATCGCGAAAACCTTGGGTTTATTTTGAAAATCAGGGTACCATCTTACAGAGCTGATCAACTTTCGAAGAAATAATTTTGGAAATTTATTTGAATCTCTATCACTTCTAGCCATAACGAAATGAAGATTACTTTGTAATATTTAATAGAGTTTTAACGATGACTGATCGTAAGATTTGTTATGCGACCAATGACCCCCCCCCCCCCCCCAATTCCCCTAAGTTTAAATTTCCTCACCTCGCTAAGAGACATAAGAATTATCTGAGGAGATAACCAAGCTATGCTCATATCTGAAAATAGAATATATTATATAATATTGAAGGTGAACGAAACGAAATGAAATAATTGAAATAATTACATTAATTAGGTTATTGAATTAAGTGATTAAACAAAATAATTTAATTAAGTAATTTAATTAAATGATAACCTCTGACTCTGTAGGTGGTGTAGTTACTACTAATATTATCTTCTTTGTGAAAGTAATGGATGGGAACTGGGTTCCACTCGGGAGCTGTTCTCTCTTTCTCCTCGGCCCCCATAATCTGGTCATAACATTAACATTTTAGCATAAATACATGAACAATTAGCATTTATCAGCATATATTAGCATCTATTAGCATATAATATTAGCATAAAAGTAAATTTATGAGTGATTTTGGAAATGATAAGTCTAAAATAAACTGGTCATATAATATTAAAAACCAGTTATAGCTGATAGCGAATCCTATTTCCTAAATTAGGCTTACCGATGCACAGCATAAAGAAAGACCAGCCATGGCGAATCCTATTTGCATCCTCGTAAAAGCATGCAACTCCAAATTCCTTCTTGCCAAATAAGGATAAACAATGTCCTTCATTAGCGGCACCTGACAAAATATCGAAAATTAAAACAAACAATATGCAGTAAGATTAATAATAAAACGAAAAATTTGTCGGAGGAATCATTAAATTTACTGGTTTTAAAACTTTCAAAAAAGAGAGAAAACTTCAAATTTCTCGCAGAAAATCTTGCTAACTTAGATCAGCTTACCAGGAATAAAATAATGACAGGATTCATAAGATTTATGATAGACAACGGCACGTTTTCCGGCCTCTTAAGGTAAAATGCTTGGAAGTAGTAATAAGAGTTGAACTGAAAATGTTGAGCTGTAAATTTGACCATCAAATTCCGAACACAAAATCTGTTAATACGAACTTTATAATGATTTAATGTGATAAGTACCAAGTTTGTTTGATATAAGCTGGACAGACAAATCAAGAAAATAAGTAACCTGAGAATAGCAGGTCCAGTAGACAGCCATTGTAGACATAACGGGAACAACGCGCCACAAGTCCGCGAACGCGTTAACCTCCTCCTCCCCGAACCTACCACCGTTCCCCCTCTTCAGCAAGTCCAGTCGGGATAGCCCGATATTCCGTATGACTTCCGGGGCTGTCTTGAAACCAGCGATCCACTCTTTGAGGATCGAGAAGAAGGTTTGGAAGGTGTCTTCGTAAGGTTCGATTTTGATGAAAACCCCCGTTTTGGATCCTGGGACCAGGCAGGTGAGAAAGCGTAATCAACTAAACGGTATTGGGCTACTTTTAGGGGTGGTTCTAACGACATTTCTAATTGATAACCTGGAAGTAAGTTTAAATTTAAATGTTGATACCTATAATGAGAAGGATGAGACAGACAACACTGAAACCAAGGGACACATAGAAGCTAGAGAAATAAAGTATAGGGTCTGCGTTTTGAGTCTGCATGAAGCCCACAGCATATGCTCCAAATGCTCCTAGATTTGTGAAGAAATAGAACCAGAGGTAGAACCGCTGGAGGTGAGACTCTCCATTTTCACGCATCTGATCCGCACCAAAAGGAGCGATGTTTGGCTTGCAGAGACCGTAGCCCACGGATATGAAGAAGAACGATAGCGTGAGAAGCACCTGCAATATTACAAGATATAATACACCTGGAACATTCGGTAATGAAGACAGTAAACGTTAGAAATCATCGTTATTTCTAAATGTTAGTGATAATATTGATAGAGGATGTTAGCCAGTTGAAAACCATCACAAGAATCTCACTATATCTAATATTGTACCAACCCATTGCATAGCTATTTCTCCATTGTCGCCCTTAACAGCATAATTTTTGCAGAATTTAGTCATTTTACTGCAACTGGTATCGTTACTGTTATTACAAATCATGGTCCACATGAGAAGAAGGAAACTGATACTTCCCAAGATATAGAAAACGAACGATACCACCAGAGTTTTGTACCTGCCCCATCTGAAAATAAGAGTTAACTTTATTGAAACTGTTTTTTTGTACTATACTCATTTTAGGAGTTGTAGCACAATTTAAGTACTAAGAACAAAGGTAAAGAAATTTCGTCATTGAGAGCAAAATTCTAGCTTGTCGTTTACGGGCGATTGTATAAGAAGACAGCGAATATAAAAGAATTACTTGGAATCCCCGAGCCAACCACCGACCACTGAAAACAAGGAGCAAAGCAGGTAGAATGATATCATGAGAGTGACCACTTGAACTGTGCTGAAATATTCAAGTTTAATTTCGCACTTAATCGCCACGCTGCTGTTTCCCACTGTAGTGCAGTGAATGTCCATGTACGTGTGCAGTGGGGTAAAATACTAGTAAATCGTATACCATCGACCCAGAATATTTACCCTTAAAATTGTTCAAAAGCCCAAGGAGAGCCTTTTTCAGTTGGGAGCTTAACCACAGTTTCTTTAGGTTAAACAACAACAACTGGACGTAGCCTGAGGCCAGGCTATACGGTAAACTTGCAAAAATAAAGGCTGTACCTGGAGAACTGCCCGCAGGTCTACAATGATCAAAAGATTTGCATTAATTAATAGATTTTCGCAAACGAATCTATAATATTTAATTAGATCTTGAAATTTTAATTAAATAAACAAAATATTAAATTAATAAATAAAATTAAAGCATGCTCGTGCGCCGCGCATACAGACACAAGAATATTTACAACGCACCTTCCAGTAAAATAAACCAGAAGACGTTTCCCTGAATTTTGTAGTGGATTTTGTAGTGGATTTTGCGCGCCGCACGTACGTTACAATATTTATCATTGTAGAATATACGACGGTAGATCTTAAAATTTATTCCGCTTTTATTTTTATTCCCACTCTCGATTCCTTGCTAGCAGTCCGGTTAATTTAGTACCTTTAGTGGGTCTCATTTATTCATTAGCTCTAATTAAAGAACCTCTCACCCTCTCAGAAAAATATTAAATTAATAAATAAAATTAAAGCATGCTCGTGCGCCGCGCATACAGACACAAGAATATTTACAACGCACCTTCCAGTAAAATAAACCAGAAGACGTTTCCCTGAATTTTGTAGTGGATTTTGTAGTGGATTTTGCGCGCCGCACGTACGTTACAATATTTATCATTGTAGAATATACGACGGTAGATCTTAAAATTTATTCCGCTTTTATTTTTATTCCCACTCTCGATTCCTTGCTAGCAGTCCGGTTAATTTAGTACCTTTAGTGGGTCTCATTTATTCATTAGCTCTAATTAAAGAACCTCTCACCCTCTCAGAAAAATATTAAATTAATAAATAAAATTAAAGCATGCTCGTGCGCCGCGCATACAGACACAAGAATATTTACAACGCACCTTCCAGTAAAATAAACCAGAAGACGTTTCCCTGAATTTTGTAGTGGATTTTGTAGTGGATTTTGCGCGCCGCACGTACGTTACAATATTTATCATTGTAGAATATACGACGGTAGATCTTAAAATTTATTCCGCTTTTATTTTTATTCCCACTCTCGATTCCTTGCTAGCAGTCCGGTTAATTTAGTACCTTTAGTGGGTCTCATTTATTCATTAGCTCTAATTAAAGAACCTCTCACCCTCTCAGAAAACTCCGTTTGGAGATATTTCTTATTACGCTCTAAGTTATTAATTTTCCTTGTGTTTGAATCCTGTCACTTTTTAACTGTTTTTAGTCTTTATTATTTTCGGCCGATTTTTGCACTTTTACACTGGGTCATCATTCATAATTTCTGGGATTGAGACGACTTATATCAGCATTTAAGGAAGAGTTTGCTTGTCTGACTTACTTCATTAGACACTTCTGGTCAAGAACTGAACAAGAACCACATTCAAAAACTGGAACATCTGAATGACTCCGCAACCCAGGAATCAACTACTCAGTTATTATCGCTCAATAATCGGTTTGGTATCGACGTTACATACTTTATTTATTTTTTTTAAAGCTGATTTTAGAAACCAGGGAATTGAAGTTACCCTCCTAAGGCTAACATTAAATCGCTGATTTTATTTATATATATCATTTTTTTGTTCTTTTCCTTCAAAACATTCCAGTACATTGTGCAGAAAGTTGGAGATGAAGCCGTAGTACGTACATGTAGCATTGCACTGGATCGAACTTGCAGAGTGTGGTTTCCTCCAGTCTGCGCCGCGCGCTTATATAAACATACGCGGCGCAGATCGACTGAAGGAGATTGCACTGTGTAGGCTCCAGTGTAATGTGATATGTATGTACTACGGCTTTACAAATTTTGGAAGCATGTAGGGATATATATCTGATACCAATCGTATATACTAAAAATACTCTAGCACAATTGTAACTGCAGTTTTACAGAACTCTAAATGCTTAATGAACACTCTTGCAGGTACCACCCGTATTCACACTCAGACCTGAGTTTAGTCATTTTCCGATACGAGATTGGGGACGGGTTCTATAAACAAACAA